GAACAAAAGTCCAGGGCCAGAAGGCTTCAAAGGTGAATTCTACTAAACATTGAAAGAAGAGTTAATACCTATTCTTCTCAAACTATTTCAAAGAATAGAAGAGGAAGAAAAACTTCCAAATTCATTCTAAGAGGCCGGCATTAGCCTACTATCAAAACTAGACAGACGCTACAGGAAAAGAAAACCTGACAGTCAGATGCAAAAATCCTCAACAAAACATCAGCAAACCAAATTCAACAATACATGAAAGGGTCATTCACCAAGATCAAGTGGAATTTATTCCAGGAATGCAAGGATGGCTCAATATTTGCATACCAATGTGATACATTAACAAGAAGGATAATCATCTCATTAGATGCAGAAAAACCACCTGACAAAATACAATATCCATTCATGATTAAAAAACGAAACAGAAAAACAAAACAAAACAAAAAAACTCTCAACAAAGTGGGGTTAGGAGAAACATATCTAAACATAATAAAGACTATATATGAAACAATGCACAACCAATATCATACTCAATAGTGAAAAACTGAAACCTTTCCTCTAAGATCAGAATAAGACAAGGATGTCCACTCTAGCCACTTTTATTCAACACAGTACTAGAAGTCCTAGCCAAAGCAATCAAACAAGAAATAAAAGGCATCCAAACTGGTAAGGAGGAAATAAAACTGTTACTCTTTACAGATGACATGATACTATATATAGAAAACCCTAGAGACCATAAAAACCTATTAAAAAATTAATTAACATACAGAAATCTGTTGTGTTTCTTCTGTACACTAATAATGAAGTAGAAGAGAAATTAAGAAAACAATTCCATTTACAAATGCATCAAAAAGAAAAAAAAATACCTAGGAATAAACCTAACCAAGCAGGGGAAGACCTACACTCTGAAAATTTTAAGACCTTAAGGAAAAAAAACTGAAGACAATACAAATATATATAAAGATATACCACCCTTGTGGATGGGAAGAATACTGTTAAAATGCCCATACTACCCAAAGTAATTTAAAGATTTAATGCAATCACTACCAAAATAACAACAGTGCTTTTCAAAGAACTAGAACAAATAGCACTAAACTTTGTATTAAGCCACAAAAGACCCCAGTCAAAGCAATCTTGAAAAAGAATAAAGTTGGAGGTATCACAATCCCAGATTTCAAGATACACTACAAAGTTATAGTAACTGAAAAATATGGTACTGATGGAAAAACAGATCAATGGAATAGGAGAGAGTGCTTGGATGCATTAACAAGATTAAAACCATGCTTTTATGTTCAATTAATCTATGAAACAGGAGTCAAGAATATCAATACAGAAAAGACAGTCTCTTCAATAAATGGTGCTGGCAAAATTGGGTAGTTACATGCCAAAGCATAAAACTGGACCACTTTCTCACACCAAGTATAAAAATAAACTCAAAATGATTAAAGACCTAAAATGATTAAATATGAGACCTGAAACCATAAAATTCCTAAAAGAAAACACAGGCTGTTTTGACATTAGCCTTAGCAACATATTTGTAGATACATCTCTTCAGTAAAGGGAAACAGAAGCAAAAATAAACTATTAGAACTAAACCGAAATAAAAAGCTTAGGCACAGTGAAAGAAACCATCAACAAAACGAAAAGGCAACCTTATTGAATGGAAGATTTTGAAAATGATGTCATCTGTAAGGGATTAATTTCCAAAATATATACAGAACTTACACAACTCAACACACACACACACACCAAACAAATAATCTGATTAAAACATGGGTGCAAGAGGGGCGCCTGGGTGGCTCAGTGGGTTGAAGCCTCTGCCTTCGGCTCGGGTCATGGTCTCAGGGTCCTGGGATCGAGCCCCGCGTCGGGCTCTCTGCTCTGCGGGGAGTCTGCTTCCCTCTCTCTCTGCCTGCCTCTCTGCCTGCTTGTGATCTCTCTCTGTCAAATAAATAAATAAAATCTTTGGAAAAAAAAAAAAAAAATGGGTGCAAGACCTGAGAAGACATTCTTCCAAAAATATACAGATGGCCAACAGACCCACGAAGATGCTCAACATCACTAATCCTCATGGAAATGCAAATCAAAACCCCAGTGAGGTATCAGCTCACACCAGTGAGAATGGCTAGTATCAAAAACTTAATAACACATGTTGCAAGGATGTGGAGAAAAGAGAAATCTTGTGCACTCCTAGTAGGAATGTAAATTGGTGCAACCTCTATGGAAAACAGCATGGAGATGCCTCAAAAAATTAAAAATAGAAATACTTTATAATCCAGTAATTCTACTACTAGATAACTAACCAAAGAAAATGAAAACATCAGTTCAAAAAGATATATGCATCCCTATGTTTATTGCAGCATTATTTACAGCAAGCAGTATTTTTTTTTTTTAAGTAATCTACCAAACATGGAGCTCAAACTTACAACCCTGAGATCAAGATTTGTATGCTCTACCAGCCAGGTGACCCTTTACAGTAGCCAATATATCGAAGCAATCCCACGTGTCTACTGATAGATGGAATAAAGAAAATGTGGTGTGTATACATACAGACACACACAATATTAGTTAGCTACAAAAATGAATGGCATCTTGCCATTCATGACAACATGGATGGACCTAGAGGGCATGGTGCTAAATAAAATAAGTCAGACAGAGAAAAACAAATACCACAGAATTTCACTTATATGTAGACTCCCAATGTCAAAATAAATGAACAAAGAGAAACAGACTCATTAATACAGACAACAAACTAATGGTTGCCAGAGGGGAGGTGGGTAAGGAGATAGGCAAAATAAATGAAGGAAATTAAGAGATACAAACTTCTAGCTATTAAATAAGTCACAAAGATAAAAAGCACAGTGTAGGGCATAGAGTCAATAGTATAGTAATATTTTATGATGACAGAGGGTGACTTAATTGCAGTGAGCACTAAGTAATATATAGAATTGTAGAATTGTTACATTGTACACTTGGAATTAATAACACCATCAACTACCCTAAAATAATAAAAATTTAAAATAACTTATAAATTTTAACAATCACCATTACCACTTTCAGTAATACAAAGACTCTGTCAGACTGCTAGTTGTTCTTTAATATCCATTCTCCTCTTTTCCTAAAGTCATGGGTTTTTTTTGGTTTTTTTTTTTTTTTGCTTTTTTAAAGATTTTATTTATTTATTTGACAGACAGAGATTATAAGTAGGCAGAGAGGCAGGCAGAGAGAGAGGGAAGCAGGCTCTCTGCCAAGCAGAAAGCCCGATGCCGGCCTTGATCCCAGGACCCTGGGATCATGATCTTAGCCAAAGGCAGAGGCTTAACCCACTGAGCCACCCAGGCACCCTAAAGTCATATTTTGAACTGGGCACGTGGCTCTACAGCTAATGACGATATTTTCCAGCAACGCCCACACTCCCCCGCAGTTAAATTGATCAAATGACTAACCTGGCCAGTGGCATGTGAATTCGTAAGGATTCTCACACCCTTTCCCTTCCCCTTAAAAGAACTGAAACATCTGTCTTGGACCCAGAGAGGAAACCACTAGCATCAGAGGCCCACTTCTGTTACATGAGACCAAAATAAACAAAAACTAAGAAACAAAAAATGCCTCTATCTTTTCTAAGCCACTATATTTTGGGTCTCTCGGATACAGGCTATATACGCTAATATAAATCTCCCACGAGCTCCTGGCTAACTCTTCTGGGTTAACGACCAACTGACCATGACGTGCTGTTCTCATGTCATCAGGCAATTACATCTGACCTATTCCCACCTCCTTCAGAAGATAAATAATAGTCTAGACCTTGCTCTTCAGAAGAATCCCTATTTTTCTAGAAAGCTTTCCATACGTTTCATTTATTTCTTTATTTCCATGTGGTTTATTTGACATTAGGCAGGTGTCACCAAATAACTTCTCACTTTCCAAGAGTCCCACAGATATGGTGATGTTCACATTACTACTAATGCATTTTCCATCAAACAGATTGGATCTACTGCCAGACACTCTAAGTTTAATAACCCAAATCAAACTAGCATAGTCTGCGATGAATCATGTCTTAACGAAAAAAAGAGCTAAAGATGACAACCTACGACCGTCAGCTACCAGTGATGTGGATGAGTGAAAAATCAGTGATTGAATATCCCAAGTTGACTAACGAATGTCTCCCTATAGCACTGAAGACCGACCTCTAGGATGGCTACTCCTGCATCTTGATGGTTCTTGCCAATCTTAGCCTATTATGCTTTTGAGTATGATCGCTCTCTTTAATGATATGTAAAACTTGGTGACCTACCAACAATTTCAGTTAAGTGACAGTAATAGATTATATTGTACTGTCCACTGTTCACTAGTCATCCTTATGAACCAGAGCTTATATATGAGAAAATTAGATGATCTATAAAGGGTTGGGAGTCAAAACAATGTCCTCAGGTTTTTAAAATCATCTTTATTCAAATAGCATCTTTAATTTATAAACATTTCAGGGAAACTAATGCCAATTAGTTTGTTAAAATATGCAAGTTTCTTGAGTATTTCATGAAATCAAATCTGAACAAAGAATGAGAGGAATAGAGGACTTAATAAATGCAACGTTTTATTCCAAGAAAAATCATGTCACAAGATACGTGACAGTTTTTCCTCCCTTCCTAGCTCCATAGCCCCATTCTCTCAAGAAAAATGAAGAAAACAAAATAGCTCAAGAATCATAAACTTGAAAGGCCAATAAGCTTGAGATTTAATAGGAAATTCAGAGAAATACATTAAGACCAAAGAGTCTGACAAAGTCTTGGGGTTTGATTTTATATTATTAAAATCTGACATACATTTTATATATAGGGACTATTTATATGTTCTGGGATAAGATGAAAAGCAAAATGATACCTATTACAGATACCTATCTTAGATCCCTGCCTGTTTCAAGGTCCTATGGATATTTTAGGATAGAACAATGACAGTAAAATCTGTTTCCAAAAGCCAATTATAGAAGCCTATAAAGATAAAATTTAACTCACCTTCAGCATCCTTAACCATATCGAGTTTAAGAGCCTTTGTTCCATCAAAGCAAAATGCCTTGATGGAATTCAGCCCTAACAATAAAGCATTCTGTTTTATTTTCTCTACTTTGTTGGATATTTTATCCAGTGCTATTACTTCTCCCTAAAAAACAAACAAAACACACATAAAAATAAAGTGTAAACCCAAAGCAGTCATGACAACTATTAATAATGAGGAAAACTGGTAAAAAAATTATGGTCTTTCCTACTTTCCTCCCATCCCTAGTTTTAAAGCTGAATTCATTAACCAAATGTGTATCAAAGTTACACTAAAATACTTAAGTCTCATCCTTTTAAAAAACCCCATTCTTAGAGCGAGACAAACCAAGAAACAGACTCTCTTTTTTTTTTTTTAAAGATTTTATTTATTTATCTGACAGACAGAGACCACAAGTATGCAGAGAGGCAGGCAGAGAGAGAGAGGAGGAAGCAGGCTCACCGCTGATCAGAGAGCCCGATGCGGGGCTCGATCCCAGGACCCTGAGATCACGACCTGAGCCGAAGGCAGAGGCTTAACCCACTGAGCCACCCAGGCGCCCCAAGAAACAGACTCTTAACTATAAAGAACAAACTTCTGGTTAGGGGAAGCAGGTGGGGGGATAGGTGAAACAGGTGATGGGGATGAAGGAGGGCACTTTGTGATGAGGACCCAGTGATTTATGGAAGGGCCGAGCCACTACCGTAGTAATATTACACTGGGTGTTAACTAACTGGAATTTAAATAAAAACTTCAAAAATAAATAAATACAAAATAGAAAAGCACATTCTTTCCAGTTCCAGTATTCTTATAGTACGGAGCTATTTTTTTTTTAAAAATTTTATTTATTTATTTGACAGACAGAGATCACAAGTAGGCAGAGAGGCAGGCAGAGAGAGAGGAGGAAGCAGGCTCCCTGCTAAGCAGAGAACCCGATTCGGGGCTTGATCCCAGGACCCTGGGATCATGATCTGAGCCGAAGGCAGAGGCTTTAATCCACTGAGCCACCCAGGCACCCCATACAGAGCTATTTTTAATAAAATTCAAAACCATAAATAGTGTTTGCCATCTAAGAAACTTGAAAATATCTACTGGAGGCTAAGATTTTTAAAAAATCACCAATCTGATGTGCTTTGTTCACATCTGGAAGAATATGAACTAGTGTTCTGAGACTTCTGCTTCCTAGTGCTTTGCAATACAGATGAATGTTACTTGTAAAATCAATCCTCAATTTTTTCTGACTTATACATGTAAACAAAATTCATGTCAATTCTGACAACTATAACATAAAAATATTGACCTGTATATCACAGCAAAATGCTATAGACTGATTTAAAAAAAAAGTAGTTCAAAAATAATTTTATATGGCAACTCTTCGGTTAAAGTCAATGAAAATGAGGTCATTCTTTTCCGAATATATTGCGACATTCACATGATTTTTAAAATATACTATGAAATGATATTGCAGAGATGGTGAAATTAACTCTTCAGTGTCTTTTCTTGCTTTTTTTTTCTTTTATATACACCGTCCTTGTATGACAAATGCATCGCCTGCACAGATTACAATGCTGCTACACTTTCTGCGGGCATTTTTACACAGCACTATGAAACCGAACAACAGAACATGGACACACCTAAAATATCCAGAATATCTTTGGAAGACTTCTTACTAGACAGAATGAAGTATCTGTGGATACTTCTAAACAAATATAATAAACATCCTATATCATAAATTAAGGGCTGATTATTATCTGTTCTTCAAAGCATATCATAATCTTGGGGGTATAGCTCAAGGGTAGAGCATTTGACTGCAAAGCATATCATAATCTTTACAATTAAGGATTTGAGGTAAACTGAAAATTGATTTGCATTAAACACTACAACTCCATAAAGTGAATCCTTTTATTTTTCTGTGTTTTTATCTTTATCTGTGTTTTTATTGTTCTGTGTTTTGTGCATTGGTGGTATTTAATGCTTTTTTTCCTTACGGCTTTAATTGTTACCACCTTACATTCCTTTGGGACAAAGAAGAGTGTAAGTAAACAGGAAAGTACATCTCCTCTAATGAACCAAGAGTATTAATACCTTAAAACTTGAACGACAAATATCTTTTCCTTCCTTCGTTACTTAAGGCCACTCACTGAGACCGTACTAGTGTTACCATAAGTTGTGTGTGTGTGTGTGTGTGTGTGTGTGTGTGTGTGTGTGTGTGTGTGTATGGCTGCATATATGTACAGACTGCATATATTCATACACACATAGAACATATATACACTGCCTATATATTGTATGTAGATACACATACAATATAGGTTTTAACTCTTCAATATGTTTATTGAAAATATCAACTTATGTATGTACATATGCATGTATGCATGTGAGTGTACATTATTTTCTTACTCGTGACACAGTGAATGTTTCAAAAATTGTAATAGTATCAAATACTAATATGCAGGTAATGTGAATTTTCATCAGAAGTCTTTGGATAAAATGATTTGTACTAATGAAAGGGAAAAGTTACAATTTCATTTTGGCACAGTAAATGTTCCTATTATTTTTTGTGCAAGACTGCTTTTACCAATCTTTGGCATTTACAAGATTGCTTGTACCAAATGACCATCCTAAAAACCATCAAATATAGATCAGAAATGATCATCTGGTAAAGTCCAACATCTGGCACTCTGGGGAGTGGGCACACAGATATTACATTTTCTATCAAGTGAATCAGAGCAGAAGGGCTCTGCTAAGCCTCAAAGAACAGTATTTCTATGCTAGAAAGTCTTACACTTCATGTAGGCAATTTTTCCTTATTTATAAATGAGTACTATGAAAAAAAAAACTACCAAGTTTCCTAGGTGCCTAAGATTTCCTACCACTGTATAAATCTGAGCTAACTTAGAAAAATATGAATGGATCCACTGTCCTCAGTCTTTTACTGTCTTTGCTATGCTCTTTACACAGTTTAGATTCCATGCTATATCACATTACTCTTATACACATCCTGTGTCTTAGATACAAGCATGACAAAAAATGCTGCTGTGGTTAAATCCAATTCTTCACCAACTTCACATACAAACACAGAAGCTAAAAAATGCCCATCACTATCCCAACAAATCTTACCTTACATTCATGACCACTGTACTCACAGAGCCCACAGTGCAAACTGGAATTACTAGGACGTGTCCATAGCCCATTCTCACTTTCATTTTCCTAGATTAACATTTCATACCCCCTAGCTCTTACTACCTCCTTCCCCATCCCCATTCTTATCTGATGACCTTGCTTCATATTTCATTGAGAAGACCCAAACAACCAAAAGAAACCTTCCTACCTCTTACCACATTGAATGGCCCACCAGTATCTGCACCCACGTACTCCACCCCCCTCCTATTTCCAAGGATAAACTGCCGCATGCTACCATCTAAAGCCATGTGTGCATCAGACTGTATCCCATTTCCCCTCTTCAAAAACACAGTTAGCAATTTCCCCTTTTAATGGATCTCTCATTAGCATGCAAACATGATCATTTCTCTCATCTTAAAGTACTCCCTGAGTTCATCTCCAACTACTACTCTATTTCACTGTATTCCTGTACAAATAACTCCCCCCACCACCCCTGCCAAAGGAGTGGTCTTGATTCACTTTCTTGGATTCCTCTCATTCTCAATCCAAGCAAGCATTTCCACTCAACCTTATGATAAGGTTGCCTATCACCGGCCTGGTGCTAAGCCCACTGGAAGTTCTCAGCCCTCACTTTTTGTGGCCCCGCGGCAACATCTGACACAGCTAATCTCTCCACTGTCTTTCAATCCCTTTCTTCCCATTGTTTCCAGGCTGTCATACATACTCCTCTGGTTTTCCTCTGACATCGCTGGCCATTCCTTCTCCTTTCCCCAACCTCTGAATGTTGGCACCCAGCACCCACACGGCTCAGTCTTCCGGCCTCTTCTACTCTCTGTTGCCACCCATATCAGTTTTAAGGCTTTACATATTATCTATAAGCTGACGACTTGCAAATTCCTATTTTATATATCTTTACACTTCCAATCTATATATTTCCAGTCTATACCTCTGTCCTGAACTCTAGGCTCAAATATCCAATTGCCTGCTCAACATCATCCGTTGCAAGTCTAACAGACACTTCAGTTTAATATCTCTAAAATTAACTTTCTGACTTTTCCCTGCAGAACTTGCTCCTCCCATAGTCACCCTTACCCAAAATCTGTAGGAGTCACCCTTGATCACTCTCTCATTTCCATAACCCACATCCAGTGCATCAGCAACTCCTTACAACTCCACCTTAAACACATCTCCAGAACCTCCATGCCACCTCCATAATGCTTCCCTGAATTACTGTCTTAGACCAGTCACCCCTGCCCTCCTCCAGTCTGTTTTAAAGGCAATAGCCAAAAGGATACTGGAAATAGTAAAGAGGCATATGTCACTCTTCTGTGGCTTCCCATCACTTGAGCACAGTCAACATCCTGTGACCCCTACCAACAGCTAGACCCAAACATCCTCCCCAGAGCATCCCTCTCTCTGGTCTCTTTTCTTCCTCCTGTCTTTCTCACTCTGTCTTTCTTAGCAAAATGCAGCAAAATGCAGAGATTCCTCTAAGTCAGGTGTGCTCCAGCCTCAGAGCAACCACACCTGCTTTTTCTCAAGAGAAAACATGCATCCCACAGACCTCCATGTTGCTCATCACCTCAAAGTCTTTCCTCAAAAACCATCTTCACAGGGTGTATTTCTCACCACCCTCCTAAAAACTTCATACCCACTCCCCTCCACAGTCCCGATGCCCCTCCCCTTCCTCTCTTGCTCACCAGCACCCTTACCTCGATTCTACATGCCATAACTTGTATTCATTTAGTTTATTATCTGTCTCCTCCTAACTAGAAGGGAAGCTACACGACAAAGACAATTTTGGTCTCAGTGGTTTATTGCTGCATCCCCAGTACTTGGCATATATAAATACTATCTGTTTAATCAACCAACCAACTAATTAAAATCTGCCTCCAGATCAAAGTAGGTGAAGATAATAGTGTGTCTAAGCATTTCAGGAACCATGTAATTTTATGATTTGAAACAAGAAGAAAGATAGCATCAACTGGCCCTATTCTTCTTGAGCTGAAGAATCTTAGGTGCAGCACAGAATGGTCACAGTGAGTGACAAAGTCACACTGAGTTTGAAACACAAAGTAACCCATAATGAAAGGAAACATAGGGGCGCCTGGGTGGCTCAGAGGGTTAAAGCCTCTGACTTCGGCTCAGGTCATGATCCCAGAGTCCTGGGATCGAGCCCCGCATCGGGCTCTTTCCTTGGTAGGGAGCCTGCTTCCTCCTCTCTCTGCTTGCCTCTCTGCCTACTTGTGATCTCTCTCTTTTGAATAAATAAATTAAAAAAATCTTAAAAAAAAAAAAAAAGAAAGGAAACATACTGTCAAATACATGTATGTGGGGGAAAAGCTGTAAATTCTTTTTTTTTTTTTAATTTTTATTTTTTTTTAAGATTTTTTTTTTTTTTTTTTTTTTTTTA